AATGATAATGCTCTTCTTCTTCGCCAACCACTCTCCTCCTTATCTCTTCGCCTCTTATTCAAACAAGAAATAATAATAACAATGTTGAATGGCTGAACCAGAATCAATGTTCGAATCCCACTTCTACTGCAGGTATTACATGAGGTCTGCCATAGCCATGGCCACCCTTTTTCCTCCTTCCTCCAAGGCTGAGGCTATGGCGGACTACCAGGGCATCGCCCTGCTGTCCAAAGGACAACACAAAGCAGCTATGGCTGCTCTAGCTCATGTCGCCATGCCTGACTCCGCCTCGAAGCTTCTTGGTGTGGGGCCTGCCTTCTGCATCGCCCACCAAGGTGATGAAGATGGCAACCACCATAGCCAGGTAAGTACGTCTAGCCTTCCTCCTCCGTGTCCTTGCTCCTTTCCCAGCAGCGCTGCTCCAAGCTAGCGCTGCTCCAGCCAGTGCTCCAACCAGAGTGTCGTCAAACTTGCACACCGACAATGAGGAGGAGCACCTTGCTCCTCCTGGAGATGGAGCGGCCTGCTTGCCTCTTGGCAAGTGACTTCCTAGGCCGCACGGCCTCCAAGCAATCGGTACCTCCCTCCCTTTCGGAGGGAAACATTATTGCAGACTCTGATATTGCCCGTACAGGCCCTAGACTCGTTGGACTGGTACCCGCCTAGACCTAGCCTACAACTATTGGGCCTCGAGTACCCGACACATCTGCCTAGACGTAGCCTACAACTATTGGGCCTAGAGTACCCGACACATCTACCTCTAGCTGGTGTGGTACTGGTGTGAGGAAACCCGGGGGGGGGGTTCGCCTACTGTTCGCTGAAGCCAAGGGCTACAGTGCCTGTCACTCACTGCGCCCGCTTCAGAGGTCCTCAGCGAGCAGCAGGGTATTCCTGTTCGCGACCTGCTGCTCACCACTCAGCAAAGAACTTCCTGCAGTTATATGAACGAGGAAAAATAAAGAATTTTTTTATCTGTTTTACAAAATTGTTATGATCTTGGTTGTCTGACGAATTTTATCGCCACTCACACACAGACAATCTCATACATGCCCATACATGCATAAGAGAAGGGGAGAGAGGAGAGTCCAAACTGCACACGGATGAAAATAAGCAGCGGAAGACAATCATGCACAGATGGGGAGAAAACACACTGTGTTTCTCACTCTCTGACACAACTCCCAACAACCAATCACAAGAAAGAACCTGCGAAGATCACAATTGGAAATCACACTGATGATGAACCACTCAAACAAATTATCGTAACAGAGTTTGTTCCAGTATCTCGCCACTCTCAGAACTCACACCCCACTCTCTATCCTACACCCAGTTAGTAGCGCCACATCAGAATGGCCTCCCAGAGGCCAGCGCCAACCACCCTGATGAAGAACAGGTCCTGCGATGAAGTCTTCAGGGCTGATGGACAACTCTGACGAAGGAACAGGCAGCTATGGCTGGCACCACCCACGAGTACACAGTGTAGAGCCTCAATATAGCCCGGCCATACGCAGACACCCCAGGGGTAGATGCGCTGAGGATGCCCCAGCTATGGCAGACTCAAACTGGGCCGGCTATGGCTGCTGTCAACGGCGAAGTCTCAGGATGCCGCCTGCAGACAGACACCGCCACCAACTTGCTTGGCTTCTCCAACGCTGCTTCGCGAGAAATGAACTGCCCAAAAGTCCTGAACCGATGGGCCTAACCTATCTATAGACTACACTAGACCTAGACTGGACTGTCTGACCGACCGGTACCGTTGCTGTTTCGGCCTCTCGACCTCTACCGGACCTGGCTATAGGCTATAGGACCGTCTATCAGTATAGGCCTCTTAGGGCCTGTCTGTCCTAGGGGTAGCCCGGGCCTCCTATTCGCAGTCAGGGTAGTAGTAGGAAATTCAGTTGGTGTTAGGGCTGTATTTTCCCAAATTTACAGATGTGTCCCTCACGAATTTCCCCACATGTAGGCCTCTCGGTTAGCCCTCAGCCAAACAAAATTACAAATCTAACCCTACCGGTTAGAGTACAGCCTCGCAGTTAGTCTCGGCAGTAGAAATCAGCAAGTCATTGCAAAATGATCCTTCACCTCAGACAGACTGAAGTACCATCGTTCAACATCCCCTCTCTTTGCTTCTTTCCCTCTCTTACAACCAACGAACACACAGTATAAATGCAAGCAGGAGCACGTTAACCAAATAGCCTAGTTTCGGGTGGTTTGTTCAAGTTCAGAGCGCGCGGTCAATGTAGCTCGATTTCAACTGATCTGCCCCCTGATTTACATAGCATCAACTCAATGGAACAGTTTCGAGTGATCTGTTCAAGTGTCGGCGGATCGAAGCTTCAACTCAAGTAGCATATGCAACAGACTCCATGCCAAAATCAAGGCTGCATTCTAATGATAAGCAAGGGAGACCGTGATCTGACGATGCCAGACTCTCGTGGTTTAGAAAGGGTGATCACAACCCAATGCAAGGATCCGTTCACAATTATGAGTAAAAATTAGAGTAAATATCGAGACTGCAGTCCTACTCGTTCACTCCATCTCTCTCTCTTTCCCTCTCTTGCAGGTTTCAACTCTCAATTCGTCCTCTTTCTCTCTCTTACTTGTTTCCTTTCACAACACCTGCCATTAGTGTGCTACCCCTTTGAGTAGCTCTTCCCTTTCCCTCTCTTTAGGGGGGGGGGCGTTCAGTCTTACGAGTTCAGTTTCGGGATTTGGAATCCAATCCAAGGGCCAATCAGGCACCAGGCCATTTCAGAGAGCCGGTTTATTACCCACTCGGAGGGCTTGAATACGTGCCAATTTCCAGGACCAGCTTCAGGCTGACAGATACAGAACGAGTAGACTAATCTTGAGCGGGCTCAGTTCCTAACCAGCCGCTGTCTGTTCAAGGTAAGCACTCAATGGCCAACACATGTAATGCTTGGAGCCTGTACTTGAGGAGACTCAATCGAGCCGAACCCCTGTCCTTGCTTACTAATAACCAGGAAGAGTTACCACGAGCTGACCTGCTGGCTTGGTTCAATTGATTCCCCGGGAGCACCATGAGCCAAAACGCTTACTCGGAGACAATCAGAGGCCCGGTTACAAGTAGTCTAATAAAGCGAGTGAATAAACAGCGATCCTCTCGGTGGATCTGTTTACAAGCATTCTGTGACAGCAGATCGGGAGCCCTCCAGCGGCTTGCTCTGGCGATCAGTAAGCATTACCTAGAGTCCAACGGCATAGAATGCACTGATGAATTCACCTCCCACTCTTTCATCCCTTGTCTCCTACCGTCCCCTCTCTGACCTTTCTCTCGCTCTCTTCTCCCTTTCACGCCACTGGATATCTCTCTCTTTTCGACAGGCAAAACTCTAGTTCCCGAATATGCCCGTTCAGCCCTCGGACATACCTTCAGGTTATGGACAGACCCGCTTAGTCTGAGAACAGATTGCAGAACTGTTCTCGTTTGTTCCGCAGACCATCTCTTGTAAGAGGCGTTGGCAGATATTCGCTGACCGCTTACCGGCTGGATCACACACGCGAGGTGTCGCCCTGACGGCTATGTTTTTCTTTTCCAAGCTCATAGCCCATGCCAGTTGAACTTACAACTGCGCCACGCCTCAAGCCCGCTCCTCGGAAGCAATAGCGAGATTATACGCAGTCAACGTACGCCCATGTACATCCCTCTCGCTTCACTGACTTGCCGCTCTCCCCTCTCAATAGGCACTAAGTGCCATGTAAGCAGCGGATTTCCCCCTTCCCACTCACTCTTGTTCCGTCACAACGAAGAGCTGAGGCGGGGCTCACTCAACAGCCCGGTTGATCATCACCCCTCGCGCGCCCTTCCGCTTACTTCAATTATTCCCCCATTTTGATCACACTTTTCCCTTAGGTTCTTCGAGCTCGTTGTCACGGTGATAGAAGAGACATGAGTCAGAGCTTAGCTCGAACCTTCAAGTCATATTCGGAAGCTACGGATAGCGAGCGCACAGTTTGAACTCACCTTCTTTCACCACTGATCTCCCCTATCTAAACATCCTGGCCCTTTTCAAAGCAGACGAGGGCTACGTACGCCGGGCGCACCGAATTCCCTCTCTCCTCTCATATCACCCCACTCCGCCAATGTCACGGCTCCGTCTTCCGCACTTACGAACGGGCACATTCACGACCTAACTGAGATGCTCATTCGCCCTTCTCCAGTCACGGGTGGGCGGCGTACGCCAGGCACGCGTCCCCCCGCCCGCTCCGTCCGAAAATTCCCCCGTTACCTCTGTCGGCCCTGCCTATATCCGTAGTAGCAGTCCAAGGGAAAACCCCAGCCCGCTGCTACCAGTGGCTGTTGCGGCTGAGAACCGGCCTCGACCGTGCCTGCGGCATCAGACCCACACTGCCAAACACTGCCAACCACAGTTAAAATTAGGGTCCCGCTGCCGTGCGGCGTACCAGTACCAACTCAGTTACAGTGGTATAGGACCACAGTAAGCTGTCTCTGTACCTCACCCGTGTCGAACCAGCAACATACGAGTCTCCGTACCAACCAAAAGGATCAGACCGCATCATACTGTCCAGTGTCAAGATAAAGCCACCAATCCGGTGCGGCCCGTAGTAGTCCCGACCACAGCACCGTACCGATCAAACCAAGTATACGTGCGCCGTACCAGTGACAATTTGTCGTCCGCAGCAGTCGGGGAAATTACCACTTCAACAATTACCGTACCGTGCAACCAGTACCGTGCCAATTCCGTACTTGCCCCGAACCAGCGTACCATGCCGACCATGTTAGTGTTACTGTGACCAAAAAAACAGAACACCATGTCGTCCCTCGAATACACCGTGCCTGTAGAAGATTGTACAGTACCTGTCCCGAACCAACACCGTGCCAGACATAAATGTACCGTCCTGCAGAAAATTGGCCCAGCACCGAACTGGTAACCGAGGTTGTCCAATACAGGGTACAATGCCAGGCCGCAGATGACCCAGTCGCCGCACGGTACCAACCATGTCACTGTGACCCAACATCGGCCCCACTCACTCGATAACACTCGGCCATTGCGGTGGTAGTAATCAGGTCAATCGGGAAAGTCGAGGGAACTCACACGTGAAACGGTTTTCACCTTTTAGGGGTAGCGGATGCAGTACCCAGGGTTCGATCCCTAGACCTCACCCTACCTATGTACAGTATCTGTATAGATCCCGAGAATTGAACCTGTGACCTATGTATTCGCAGAT